TCAGTGTAAAATTAAAAACAGCTCTGCGATTTGACAGATTTCAGGCAATGTTATAATGAATGCCCTTAAATTCCGTTTAAGGCAACCTTTCATGATGTGAATAGTAAGCATTGAAAAAGAGGCAATGCAATGACATGTGAAATGTGTTGTTTCTCATTCTAGGGTAGCTTGGCATGTGAAATCTGTTGTTTCTCAGGACAGCTTGACATATAACAAATGACATGAAGTAGTGGAGACCACGAGAAAACATGTGAATACATCTACGAGTTCTTGCTTGGAGTTGCAGGGTACTCTTCACGAGTGTAACAAGGATGCACAACTTATTTGCAGACTTGTGACAGGTATTTGCAAATGTCTTCTGTCTGGTGACGTAATCACTACTGAGCTCAAAATTAGAAATAAAACATATGGAACTGCATAATAGGTATAGTTCTATATTTGACAGTGTGATGTATGTCTGGAGGATCAACCTGTTCATTTGTAACTCGGCTTTCATGCTGTTTCACTTGGAAACAGCAGACGTAGCCAGAAATTTCTATCGAGGGGTGCGTTTTACTCTCACAGGATAAGTGAAAGATAAACGGTATAATCTTAGTTGTTCTTGCTTTTCAGTAAAAACAAATATTTGCTTTCTCTTTCCGTTATCCTACATAATAAGACCAAGCAGACAAACAACTGTAAATTTGACTAATACAAAAACCTTTTAATACATGACTGACATAAAAAAATTACTAGAACATAGAACAAGAGCGAGAACATGAAAAGATTTTTCGTCCTGTCTTTCTCTTTCTTGTTACTTCCCGTAATTTAGTTTTAGAATTTACAATTGTTCACGAAGACTAACTGCTTCGTGAACGACATATACTCCGGGCTATCCACTTTCATGTCAAAGTGTTTCTGCAGTATGAACCGGGTTTCAACAGAAACACGTAAGATATACACTTTCTCACCTTGATGAGGTGCCAAGGAACGAAGTAAATAATGCGCGCAGGATCATAATGTAGAAACAGCGCAAAAAATATGGACGAAGCAGAAGAAACACGCAAACAGGAAGAATACTGACTCGCAACAGAAACAAAGTACAAAGGAAAAAAGCAAGAAACCAAACCGGTACCGTCAGTCTCATATGTCAAGCCGCTTGTCCTATCACCCCCATAGCCATCGCATCACGTGGCCACATCTCATTCTCGCAAGCAAAAATTAAATTTTTTTTTTCCGAAAGTGCTATGGACGCTTCACTTATGCTCTGGTCCCCCAGAGTGACAATGTGAAAAGCTCGAGCACTTCTCTCATCATTCTATCTTTGTTTCTTCCTAAAACTGTAGCGAAAAAACAAAGAATGTAGAGAGAAGTGCTACAGCTTTTCACATCATCACTGTGGGGGGCCAGAGCATAAGTGAAGCGTCCATAGCACTTTCGGAAAAAAAAATTAATTTAATTTTTGCTTGCGAGAGTGAGATGTCGCCACGTTGTGATGTGACGGGCAAGGGGATTGACACATGTGACTGACAGTGCCTGTTTGGTTTCTTCCTTTTTTTTTTTTCTTCGTCCTTTCAGTTTCAAGTAATAAAAACTGCAGTTGTGAGTCAGCGTTTGTCCTGTTTACGTGTTTCTTTTGCTCCGTCCGTGTTAATCGCGCTGTTTCTATGTTATGATTACATTATATGCGAGAGGTACCTTGCATAAATTTAAATGAGCACTAGCTCCTATGACCAGTCACCACTGTCAATTAAACTTCAGATGTGATGAAGGTATGTCGTGGTTTTTCTGTCAGTATAGTGACAGCCATTACATTGTAATTGTTGAATCAATGGATGTTTTGAAAGATTTTAGAGCACAACCTAAAACAAATTTGTATGCTTTCCAAAGTGTTTTTTTTTTTTTTTTGTTCCAGTTCCCACAGAAAAAACATGGTAAAATCGGGAACAATAACCACACAACAATATGAATGCCTTCATAAGACAATGTCTCTTTTGGAAGCACTTTTCGCAGGCTGACAACTGAGGTCATCCAAGGCTCTAATTTGATAATGCCACACTGCATTATAGTTTGGCCATCTTTGCAGTACTGAATAAATTTGTGGGCCCTTTACAAACAGGCATGCATAAAAAATCCATCAACAATGTTAAAAAAAAAATCTTGAGAGGGAAATTATATCAAAGCAAACTGAACATACTTTAAAGTGATGCAAATGGGTTATTAATTATAACGAGCACTTGGCTGGTGGGTATCCCCAAACACGGGCTTCCAACTTGGCCAGCAGCCATCTTTGAGTCAGAGTGGTTTACCTGACCTCCAGGTTGTGAAACGGTGACGTGTGCCTGAGCACCTGAGCACGTGTGAGCAGCGTAGCTTGTTGTGCATTGTGGAGGAATTGGAGTAGGAAATGCGGTGGTCAGTGCCATGGGACGGGTTGCCAGGCAGAAAGGAGTGCACCACAAAATACTTTGCACTGTAAAATGAAAAAGCACAAGGTGTGTGTGTTAATACTAGAGCTGTGCAAAGCATGGCTACGAAACGAGAGAGTACACAAAATTTCCTTTGCTGTTTCAAGGTGCAAAGAAGTGTTTTTCCGCTGAAAAGTGCGTAATGCATAAATAACCAACAGCAGTTCCAAATATTACCTGCAGGTTTAGAAATATGCAATCTTTTCACCAGAAAGAGCTGTCTGAATAATTTTATATCCAGCAATATAGTGCTGTGTCGTCGTTAGGTATGTGAACCCTAGGTGAGAAAATCATTTGTCGTCGGCACCGTTTGCAATGACTAATAAAGGTGACAAATGCGATTGCTTGCTAGAGAAAATGTGGGTGTCCAGAAATTTGGTCTATAGAATGAGGAATATTCATTAGGAAAAGTCACACTTAGAAGAGAACTCCTTGAATAAAAAAATGAGCAACTACATTAAGGATTAAAGAACAAAAGTAAATGGGGCTTTAGGGATCAGATGACGAATGGTTTAGCCAAAAAAACAGGTTGTTTTACCAAAATAGGTGCCTACACACACAGTGATATATGACAAGGGTTTGATTTTTTTTTTGGTTTACACAAAATCTTTTCAATGGCAACAAACAAACGATGGTAACGCAAGGGACAATGGTGATGGGAGGCGTGAAAACCTGATGGCGATCGATATTACTCTCTGCCCTCGATGACATAGTTTTTGCGTTCAGATCCCACCGGATTTTGCCCCCGAAAAAAAGCACTAATAGCTACCACTAAAAAAAAAAAAAAAAAAGAAATGAAGAATGCTAATTTTTAAAATTTTTTTTTTAAACTTCAATTTTACGTAACTGAAAATGGCCAGATACCTCAGAGCAGCACAGCACACGTAGTAACACATACTACTCCAAGTTTGAGGCCCAATCAGTTAGTTGCCAGATTGTCTCCCCTTCAATACAGCGATTGCATACTCTCTGTGGCAGTGTCGTCCTAAACACCCCCATTTAATATTTAGCTACAACTATAGTAATTGCCCGGTGCTTACAAAAAGAAGAAAAAAATAAAACCATACAGTCTTGGATTAAGTGGAGATACCACACATATTACTGGAAAAAAATTTTAAACTTTAATATGCATACATATTCACAAAAAGAAGTATATATATTAGATAAAAACTAAAAACATAAGCCAAATAAAAATTAAAAACGATTTAAACCAAAATGACCAAACCCTAGATATGGCCAAATAGTCAAGTCCCACAGCACTTAAAAAAGTTTCAGAATGTCAAAAAATGCTCTTATTGCCCATATTTATAAATTGAGATATAGATGGTGTACTGCACCACATTTATTAAGCTCTGCCACAACCTTCACTGTAATATAACATGGGACACCTAACACTGACACCTCCTGGTCCTTGCTACAGATACAACTAAACAACCATATGCAAATGTGGACAGCAAGGGCAATGACACAGCTTTTGCTTGTATTACACCAAGCTAAGAGTGCCAAGCAGTGCATTTCCTGTTAAACTATGTGCTTGGTGGCAGGGAGATCAGCAGGTTTCAATTCCTGGAATAAGAGTCAGTAGGTTGATGGACAGCAAAATTCTCTGAGGCAAGAGAGAATAACCCCTGTATTAAAATAGAAACATTTGAAGCAGCAAGACTGAAGAGACATGAGCTGAAGCATTCAATCAGCACCTCCCAGTCAAGGCTCAAGCAAAAAGCATCCCTGCAGGAACTCTGCACATCCTAAACCACTGTGATGTTACCCATTGTCGAGAGGGTAAGCATTAAGTGAAGAGTAAGTCTGGAGTCAAATGCAGTGAATGTGACTGCTAAAATGTCACATCACTAGCACTTCCTGGGTGTCTGAAGATGTGAGAAAGGCTCAAACTGCAATGTAGGCTTCTTTCATGGAATACTAATTTCGAACAAGCTGAGAATTCCGATAGTCTCATTAACAACGTCGATATCTGTTTTTCAACTAGTCCATCGTGAAATAAGCCTTTGGTAAATACAGTGAGGTCCCACTTATTTTGAAAACCAAATGTATGCTCAACTAAATACTTTCCTTTAGAAGAAACAAATCCAATGCAACTTGATTCCGATCCGACTACCGTAATACTTTCTTATCCGGACAATTTAAAGAGACCAAAAGCATATATAAACGTGACACAACTACAGAAATGGCTGTAATTCTGGTGCCTATATCATAAAATTAACAAACCATCCCATTTACCACATTCATGTAAGTAAAAAATAAACAAGTTTCAACTAAAAGAGCAGAACTGGCATCTCTTCTTGTTTCGATAAGTGCTGTCAACGCTATCGGGATACCATGGTGCCAGAAGCGACACTCCAGCCCATGCTGCCCAACGCTGGGCCCGAGAAAAGCTAATGGGGTCTCAAATAACGATATAACTTGTCGGACTGCGTTGGCGGAGAATCCTCGGAGACGCAGGAGGGGGCAGCAGCTCCTGCTCGAGGCCACCATAGGAGCGTGTCAGCCTCCGGGGGTTGAGGGGCTCGAACGTACCTCGCAGGTGTGCCGACGTCACCGTCGGCCGGAACAGTGTTTGCGGGCGTGGTAGGCGGCTTGGCCCATGGCTGCCAGGTGTGAGTGGCAGTGGCACTGTGGGCCCCCCTGCAAGGTCCCCTGGTTGCTGTCCCCATGCGCCAGCCCAAAGCTGGAGAACTGCATCCGGCTGTTGCAGTACACTTCGTCATAGGGTGGGTTGCTGCAAGCCAGAACGCGCGCCAAATGTTCGCCGAGACCTAACCTTTGCTAGCTTTCGCAGACCGTTTGGAAAGTTGTGAAATGAAAAGCTGCTCGCACGAATTGTGAGTTCACAGCTGGTTTCTCCATTTCAACCAACACATTAACGTTGGCAGTCCTTCAGCCTGCAACAGGGGAAGTTTATGTCACAATGAAATTTCCTAATGATAGAGGGATATTTTTTTTTTTTTGGTCGAACAGCGCAACATTTTGTAATAAACCCCTGACATGCAGTGGCTGCAACTCAAGCCTTGAGCAGATGAAGGAACCTACATTGTCACTCTCCGTGGATTTTAAGTTCTGTTTCATTTGGTGAAAATATTTATGTTTCCACAGAATTAGTAGTTTGTTTGTGAGAGCTTTAGTAACAACTGCCAGAATTCTATGTTGCAATGGACTAAAGTAAATGCTGACAATCTTAAATTACAGCTTACTGACGATATTACATTGTTTTCTGTCGAAAAGATGAAGCAAATACATTGAAACTCACTCAAAAAGAATCCAGACGATATAGTAGCAGAGGCAAAACCCTCCGACAAGAATGATCCCAATGATGACACTGAATAGCAGTGGTATCTGACGTTCCTAGAAAAAATGTAAATGTAAAGCAGAAGTTAAAAATATGGAAAGAAGAAAATCTTTACAACACGCATAACGTTTGAGCATCCAGGATGAACTGAATCCCTAGAAAAAACCTTGTACTAGTAGGCCTACCTCAATCAAGGTGTCATCCCAATACTTATTGCATGTGAGATAAGAGCAGATGCCATTGTTGAGCTCTTCTGAAACAAAAGATTGAAAACAAACATTTCAGAGTGAAAGTAGTAATATTGGGCAATATAAGTCCTCTGCTTGCTTCTAGCTCCTACCAAGTCAAAGCTGCACGAGCCGAAATTGAAGTGAAATTGTAGACAACAACCTTGTTACCAAAAGGAATGAATCATAACAATGGAAACCTAGTGATAATCCACAAGGTGGGAGCTTAGATCTGCGATGATAATAACTAACCTTCGATATCTTGAAAATCTTTCACGGAGAGGATTGACAGCAGTCCAATAACACACTGTTGTACTACAATCTGAAAACAAAGTAAAACAAATGAGATCAGTTTAAAATATTATTCATCGACCAAAGCACACTGGTTTGAGAGAAAAAAAAAAAGAATTAAGGCTACAAATCCAGCAGAACATCGGTGAAAGCTGCAGTATTGTGCCCAAAAATTTTAACATGTGAGGTTTCTCTATGTGCCAAGTGCTACTCAGTGGCATGAAATGCATTATGTGCACTTTCCTAGAACTTGTGGTGCACAGTCAACAGTAATAAAAAAAGTGACTGACCCTGCACTTTTGCTGGAGGGCCAGCATGTGCTTTTCATCACAAGAGCACCGAGGATCGTCAGTGGGGGTTGAACCCACACACTTCGGATCTGTCCTGGCCTGCTGTCGTGGTGGTGGCGCCACCTCGGAGACAGCCAGCTTGTGACCCAATACATCACAACGAAGAATGTCACAGTAGTCGGCCAAGCACACACCATTGTCAACCTACAAGGAGTGACAGAATGGGATGAGCAAAACAATTGAGACAGATATAGACAGCAAACGTTGACCCTTTGCACTTTGTAAAATAAGTCCAATCTTTGAATCGTTAACTACTAAAACACTCCTGTACCAGATGAGCTTGTGAAGGTGTATGGAATGAGAAAGTAATCAAGTGTAACTTGCGACAAAACCAAAAAGAACAACTACTGTGAGCTTCCCTCGTTAGCCTCACAAGATAGTTGTGGGACCTGTCTAATTTTTGTATGCCTCGAATTAGATGACACTCGTGCTGTGGACATGTCCCTGAAAAATTAAAGTACTCGGAGGAAGGCCATAACCAATGATGCGCTGAAACTTCTACGAATGCAAGAAGCTAAAGCTTTCATGTTTTGGGACAACGGTCTCCTTCCTAATTGTGAGAACACGTAGGCAAAACGCATGGTCCATGGTCAAGTGACAGGTGAAGGAACCACAAAGTACAAGCACGCTGCGTCTTTACTAGTTGACTCGTCACAGAACTTGTAAGCAGCCAGCATATCGTGGCTCCCCAAAAAGATTTTAAACGTTGCGCGCTCGCCTTGGGCAGATCGGGTGCATGCTCCTGATCCCAGTGGCTGGTGAGCTTGTCCTCGCAGAAGAAGCCTCTCCCGCACATGGGACACTTCCAACCGGGGGACGCCGAGCCCACAGATCCCGCGGCTGGGCCCTGGGGCCACCAGTAAAGGTCCCGGCTCGGGTGGAACGGGCAGTCGGGGCTCATGGGCACGCGGTAACGTTGCAGCACGCCAGTCAACTTGCGGCGCACTAGCTGGCGGGCGACGCGAGACTGGCTGCGGGAGCAGGGCTGAACACGTGGTGACGACGGCCCATTCCAACCCACGTGGGACAGCAGTAACAATATCACCACCTGTGACAGCCAGGGTCAGTGAGTCGCACCCTTTGCACTGGTCAACTCTGTGGTCAAGAACTGTTGGCTTCTTGCAGGTGCTATGGAAGGTCAGTTCCCCTTCTGCCTGGTACCCTGAGGCAACTGATAGCCAATCTTTTTCTATATCTTATTTTTCATATAATTTTTCGCTTGCTTTGAATTAAACACATCTGGCAGCTGACCACATAGCTAGCACATGAAATGAGGCTAATTCTCTACTCCCAGGAGTTTATGACTGAAGTCACTTTTATAATGCAATAACAAGCACGGATTGTAATATGTTCAATCGGCTTCAGTGGAATCAGTAAACATAAAGGGATACCCTTCAACTTCCAAAAAATTTTCAATAAAAGGTTAAAAAATATATACACGTATAATATATCCTGGCCCAATTTTTTGCCAGCTCGGTTTCCCTTAACTTAACTTTAATGCAATAAATTCAATAATCACTCTTTCCCTTCCTCTTTCACAATATATATATATATATATATATATATATATATATATATATATATATATATATATATACGTACACACACACACACACTTGCGGACAACGTGTCGCACATTATCGCCAAGTCACGTGGAAATATACTGTTTCATCCTGCTCCGGATCTATCGACTTCCTTAGAACGAAACAACGGAAGCGGGGCTCCTGCGCGGATGTCTTTCCCACATAAAGAGTGCTTGTGCGGAGAAGCCATCTTTCCCGTGTGCAACAAAGCGGCAAACACAAGTTCGGCGTTGTTGTTTTTGAAACTTCCAAAATGGGCAGTAAACTCGGACACCAACGATATAGACACGAGAAATAGAAATATTGACCAAACTGCAAGTCTCTCATGGGATGATCACAGAAATACGAGTTACGGTACCTCCACAGATGGACTGTAGCAACCGAGGAATTAACCAATCAAAAGGCAACATCTAGACCTAGAGACGTTTGCCGATTATAAAGCACTGTGAATACAACATGTGAACTGTGCTAGACACGCAACTCCGCTACACACTCGCGATAGGCATGGGGGAATACAGCTCACAGGGTCCTTAGAATGACCTTATTTCGGAACGCACGCTCATCGGTGAAGTCTCAAAAAGCGTGCAGGGCAACACCAGAGCAGTGACGCAGTTGTACTTTGTTGATAAACAACAGCTAGCGCAGATGCAACGCTCAAGTGCCTCCGCGACGCTCACAAAAACGCCCCGTGAGGGCGAGCGGACAATGCTTACCTCGACGCAGAGATAATTGCGATACATTTATTTTAACATCGAAGTTTCCTACGCTTCCCGTATCTGCCCGACGGCGTCCTCCGTCGAAGCGCCTGCAAACACGTCGCGGCCACCGTTGCCGACCGCCATCTTGTTTCTTCGAACCAGCGTTGGCGGCTCGCACGCCCTGGGTCGATACCACCGTCGGACACTTCCTTGCGCAATACGGGGCTCAGGGGAGCCGACCCCACCGGCCGCAATTAATCGGCTGTGTGTAACCCCGCAGTGCCGAGCTAGCCTGGGCATACCGATGAGGCTGGGTAACTTCGGCCGTGGCCCGTGGCGGAGTTGCGCCACCGAGAGTAGGGCCGCACCGGCAATATCTCGAGAATGGGCATGGATGCCACGCACCTACGGCCAGGAGCTACACGATGCTTTTTTTTTTTTTTTTTTAACATATGTACACAGAGACGCAGCTCCCGCTGAATACAGCGTGCTAGTTAAAGCTCCTGTGAGCGCGTGGCTTCACCTAGCTCACTTGCACGAGAGCGCGTGCGTATGAGACGCTAGATCAAGCCACGCGCTCGCAGCAATAACATAAAACTTTGACAGCGTTGTGAACCAATATATAACACTGAGTACAACTCACTAATCTGATTTCTTTTTTAAAGTTAGATGGTACAAGTACCAACTTGGCATTTTAACAGGCTGGAGCAGACGTACAGATGCCAGAGTTTCAGCACCAACCGTTATATCGTTAAAAAGTTGTAAGCGACTGGCCTGAAATGTTCAACAAGAAAATGGCGACCGATGGATCTCATACAATACACGGAGCTCTACGGCGCCAGTTACCGAAAACGGGCGAAAATGGGCCCCAATTTCGCACTGAAAATTTCATAAAATCACTTACGGTTAGGTCTGAAACTTTCGAAGTTTCTGGTTCGGACCGCTAGGGCTACATTTAGGCGGCTAATGATAAAGCATGCACTGGATATCCCGACTTGTTCAAATTTATCCCAGCGCTTTAGATAACGAGCGCTCGGTGATGCATAGTGCATTTTTGCGGTAAAGAAATACGCATAGATTAGAGGCCAATATCCTGGCTTTTAAACTGTGTAGGTGAGAGGGTTAAGCTAAAACTCCGTTTGTCTTTGTTTTACAAGTAGCGTCAAATGCGCGAGGCCCGTGCACCGTGAAGCCCTTAGAAGCAAATGGCGGCACAGCACTGGGGCCCTAATCTGGACACTTGGCGAGAAACTCGGCGAGAAATCTGGCGGGCGTGATTGACCAACTCCGCACTTGACCTTGGCGCCGGCCAATCGGAGCCGCGGGATTTCTCGCCGACTTTTTCGCCAAGTGTCCAGGTTAGGGCCCCTGAAGTGAGCGGCTGTTGAAAGCGAATGGTGGACGAGCACTCGCTTGTGGCACGTGTTTCGCACGTTCTCGCAACAATGATTGGCGGTACTTCTAAAAAAACGAAAAGCGTGCATTTTATCCAGGAGCTTTAGTACATATATATTGTGTAACTTTTTAACGCGATCTCCGTTGCCGCTTCGATCATTAAGTTTTATTTTCCTACGCTCAATATAACTCGACTCAAACCAGGCTTGTGCGTTGCATTCGTATTGTTTTTAGCCTGTTACTCACCGCGACGGTTCCATGGGCAGAGCCACAGGTGTTTGCGATAGCTGCGATCCTGGCACACATCACGTAGACGGACTTCCGCGCACTAATGCTCGTGTCCCACTAGAGCGACAGACAGAAGCAAACCACAACGACAAGCCTCAAACCAGTCTTTCGCGATTTGAGAGGCTTTGTAGAATAAAGGATGCTATGCTGAAACAGGAGCATCATGCACGCGAGGGTATCTTTGGCAGGCTTGCAATCGCTCGTGCTTACTTCACGAGCACCGAACGACTAAACGCCTGCCAAAGGTACCATCGCGAGCATGCTGCGTGAGTTTGAGGCTTGTCGCTGTCTTTTGTTTCTGTCTGTCGCTCTAGTGGGACACGGGCATAAGAGATGCGTGTTCGGCAACATGTCCATAGTTACCCTGACCCTTCAAACAAACCGCTTTCAACAGCAGACTCGGTGTGAATCGCAGGGAGGCAACTGGACCGAGCCAATTGGGAGCACCTTCTGGTGCAGCGGGAGAGTGTACTGTCATGTACTTCATTCCCATTCTGCGTTGACCGCTTACGCCTGCTTACAACGAAATGAGGTGTGGCAGCACATATCCGAGCATTGCGTTGCAATGGAATGCAAGGAATCGCAGTCGGTAACGCTCAAACGGATATATCTGAGCCAACTGTATCATTGTGTTGTCCTCTCCAACTAAAAGAATGTACCTACTTCGCTATCCTACTCCCACCCAACCACTGGTTAGTATTATTTGGGACCGCAACACCAAAAAAATGTGCATCAAAATTGAGATGGTTCAACGGAGATTTTCTTGCTGTCTGCAAATAACAATGCCGACCTCTCGAACAACGTATAACTATTGCTAGATTATAAGATTTTCGTATTAACTTTATCATAAGCTCTGCATTGGCCCAAGCTCTTATTTTACTCAATTATCTTCCCAGGAAACTAGGAACCACCAAACCACCGTGAGTTTTTCCTTCAGCCAATATTTGCTCGAACTACCATTCTCAAGTTTTCATGTTTTCCACGCACATCTAATTCGAACACACTGCCCCATGACATTGTTATCTCCCAAGACTTTAATGAAACACTCGATGATCACCCTTTTTAATTCATGCCATCATGTTTTCTGTCACAATTTTGTATTCGGGCGTGGATTGTTTATTCCGACAGTCATTGCTATTCCCCTTACTGTTCGTTATGTAAAACGATGGCTGAAATGCGTCGTTTTTTTGCTTTCTATTCTTTGCATATGTGGATCTGTACCCCACACATGCAAGCGCCTAACGAAGGCCTGCAGTATGTAATAAATAAATATAACAGTAAATACTGCATGCATAGCAGACAGTTTCATTGCCTCAAACACTCATCTGGCTATTTAATTGTGCTTACCAGCACAGACAGAGCAAAACGAATGTGACAAGAGACATTATTTTTATTTCAAAAGCCCCTCTCAGCAGTTGCATTTGAAACACTAGCATGAACATCCGTGCCTGGTCAATTTAGCAATGGAATCAAATATAAACCGAATAGAATCTATTGAAATAGTATCAAAATAAAATAATCCCGAGCACAATACCGCAGTGGTACATGCGGTATTATAGACCTCTTGTAAAAATTCCAAAAGGTCGCGCGCGAAGTCCTGTACGGTCCTCTTCGCCCGCACGCGACACTCGAGAGAGCGAGGGGTTAGCGCAGTCGGATCGTCCGCCTTCGCACGCACACCGACCCAAGGTCGCTCCTGCCGTCTGCTACAACCGATTGTAGTACCTCGAGTTTCCGGCATCCACCTTTCCGCGCCGCGGACGGCACTGCAAGCTGTGCACAAAGGTCTACCCTAAAATTTTCACGGTCAAGTGGAGTTTCCAAGTCATCATTACTTGGGTTCCATGTTCCACAGCAGCAATAAAAAGAGGACTTAGACAGGGTTGCCCATTGTCTCCCCTGGTGAGGTGGGAAAGATTAGAGCAGTGCAACCTAGGTTTTGACCTGACTTACATGGAGGGAGGACTTAAAGTAAATCAAGTATTGCCAGGGTTAATGTATGCAGACGACATTGTACTCGTAGCAGAAAGTCGTGAGACAATACAGCAACTGATTAAGATTTTCGGCAGGGAAGGGGACAGTTTAGGCCTAAAATTTAGTAGGGACAAGTCGGGTATAATGGTTTTCAACGACGAGAAGAGGGCACCCCTGGAGGTACAGGACACAGTGATAGCTCACGTAGAAACATACAAATATCTGGGAGTATGGTTAAGTGAGGGAAAAAAGTATCTAAAAGAACATGGAGATATTGTAATAAAGAAGCGGAAACGGTGATTCAGCTATTATGAAACACAGGGCACTCTGAAATTATAATAGATATGAAATTGTTAGGGGTGTATGGAAGGGAGTCATGATGCCAGGACTCATTTGGGAGTGCGGTATTGTGTATGAGGTCAGAAATCCAGGAAGGTTTAGAGATACAACAAAGGAGTGTGGGTAGGTTGGCATTGGGGGCACATGGTAATACACCAAATGAGGGAGTACAGGGGGATATGGGTTCGGCATCTACCGAGAGTAGAGAAGCGATCAGTAAAGTAAAATATGAACAAAGACTAGCTGAAATTGAGGATACACGGTGGGCAGCGAAAGTGCACAAGTATCTATATATGTAAAGTCTAAACACTAAGTGGACAAACCGAACGCGCAAGCTGAGATCTAAATACATTCAACGAGATGGGGCTGATCAGAGCATATCAGTAGAAAAGGAAGGAAAGGAAACGTAAAGGAAATTGTAGGGAGAGAATATAGGGGAAATCAGCTTTAACAATATACAGGGCACAAAAACAAGAAATAAAGAAGGAACAGTTGTATGATAATTAATTTGGGAGCTCATTGCTGTTTGAAGCTAGAACGCGGGTGCTAAGAACGAAAACATAGAGGGCTGAATTCCAGGAAATGTACACTCTATGCGGCATATGCAACCGCAAAAGGTAAACTGTAGATTAGAACATGTAATTTTAAGGTGCACGGGGTTTCGTCCCACCCTCTTAATGGGGGGGCATGACTACGGATTTGGAGGGGGCAGTAGGATTTGTAGACATGGATGGACGAATGGATAGGGAAAAAATTGCGGTAACTAAATGCAGGTTGGAAGATTGGTGGAAAAGATCGAGGGAGGGGTAAAAATACAGATACAAATAAACAATGAAAACACGTGTTAAAACAAAATTTATACAATTTTTTTTTAAAGGATGACGAAATGTTAGGCTATGTGGCGCAAGCTGCCGTCCGTTACAAAGGGTATAGCCATTACCATCCATCCATCCATGTTACAAGACAAAATGTACAGGCTAGTCTAAACCCCAAGGCGACCAAAATGCGTTGTCCATCATTTCATTTTCCTTCTCGGTTTAAATTATGATGGTTCAGTGTTATTTTTCTTCTTTCCACTGCCACGACACGTGCATGCCTGAAGGAGCATTTTTCCCGGAGAACACGGCTGCGCTGAGATGAAGCGAGATACGCAAGAACGCAATTTTTACTCTCACCTCTTCTCGTCTGTGCAGAGCGAGAAGCGTGCCTAACGTAGAAAACTAGCCCTCGGATTACAGAAACGAACAATAGAAAAATGTTGCAAAACTTCAGAGCACTCTCAGTGAATTCAAATGAACTGTTGGGCTAGTTGAGAAAACATCTTAAATACAAAAGAACAAAGGGAAAGGACAGAACAAAGATACAAACAGGACAAGCACTTACTATCAACTGATTGTTTAATACATGAGAAGAGAAAGACGAAAATGAGAGGAGAAAGACTAAATTAAAATTCTACATGCATTCGTGCAAAAAAATTTTAAAAATTAATTGAAAAATGAGAGCAGTATAAAGAGAAAAGCAGCCTGATTAAGAAAAAGAGGTTGAGGCACTCTTATCTCTTTCTCGGACAGCGATATTGATGGTGTGCTAATGGACGCGTCTCCTTTTTCTATTATATTGAATTTGTTCATTTTTATACATTTAATTTTCAAATAATTAAAAGAAAATGTTTGTGCGAATAGATGTAGCCTTTTAATTCAGTCTTTCTCCTCTCATTTTCGTCTTTCTCTTATCACATGCATTAAACAATCAGTTGATAGTAAGCACTTGTCCTGTTCGTATCTTTGTTCACTCTAAGTGTTCGGTAAGGTCAAATCGAGTAGTACACTCTTTGAAGTGATACTAGACAGTTTTGAAAGTTGACGTAAGCCCACTGTAAACAATTTCGCATGTAGCATTAAAAAAGTTAAATTACACCGACCCAATAGTGGTGGAGTAAGCCTCTTTTGGCTGCAACAAGGCTTTTAAAGAAAGCAAAAGGCAGAGAGATTGTAGAGGAATTTTATATCAAAAGGAAAGATGACAACTGCATTAGCCATGCCTTCTCTCTTTCTGTTCCAAAAAGAAGTAACTTTTCTAGATAGCTGCCTGTGAGAGTGGCGATTGGTTGTAGTGTAGATGTGGCAAACGATTTTGTGTATAAAAGCGAGTGTTTTTTCTAATAAAATCAGTTGTGAGGTAACGTCTGTCCTGTCGTCTTTGTGTCTTTATTGTCCTCGTTTTGTTCGCACTTTCTAACCCTTTAAACCAATATTGGTAAAAATTCCTCGCATCTTAGTGAAATGTCGCAGGAAGTAGCAACAGGGTAAAATTTATTTCACTTGGTGCGATTTTGCAGCTGCGACGTTAAACAACACAGCGTTCGGTTTCTTTTTCTTTCTTTTGCCGTACGGGAGAGCTTGCAACTGCGAAATCGCAAGTAAAATCGCACCATTTGGCCGCATATCACTGCAATCTGCAGGCAAAAGAAATGCACCTGGCGACATCCTCTCCTGTTGGGACCGATGAAGGGAGTGCACGCAATTGAAGAATACACTGGTGGATGTGGAGCAGTGTAGCATCATAGTCGGTGCTTCATTGCGAGCCAACGTAGATCGCAGTGAGGGTAAAGGCAGGTTCACATGGTGCAATTTTACCCGAGATTTTGCAGCTTTTTTTAATAAAGGAAACATGAAAGAAAAGGTTCCCAAACACAAGTAACAGTATGCAAGAACAATCCTTTCTGTGCCCAAGAAAAGATAACAAAAGGGAGTACATTTTAGGCTATGAATACCTCTACAATGGGAGCTTACAAATGCTCACATTTTCCTTTTTTTTATTAGTCTTTTTAAAAAACCTACGTCCCGAGACTTCAGTGTATAGCTCCACGAATAATTGCGGTCAGAAAGGAAATACTTAAAATGATCATTTTTGGCTAAAGTCCACCTACGAGAGTTTGTGCTAGTGGCTCTGGAATGTGGCAATGCAGCAAACCACACAGGTAAACGTTTTATTATGAATGAACTCCATTGTCAAAGATTGAATCGCCAAAAAAATGTGATACAAAAAAATAAAAAAAAAATAAAGAAGACATACTGGTGAGATAATTTTACTATTTATAAACACGTTGGGGCAAGGCTGAAGCCTGATTGCTCTAGCCTTGTGGCTGGGCCATTATACCTGTAGGACCAAGGAATTAGAACTACTTATTACGCCAAAGAGAGAAGCATAACGACAAAAAGAAAGAACATAGCACCGCCAATGTGTGTGCAAATCACTGCGAGTTTAACGTGTGCTATCTGGCTCCAACAAGGGCCAAACTGTTTGTACACCCCTTGAAGAGAGACCCAGTCTTTTTTCTTCATCTAGTTCAACATTGCACATTCATACCCATTATAAAATTGCCATCTGCGCGGCTAGTATTCAACACCAGAGTTGAGCACATTCCTGCAACATGTCCTTGCAGCATTTTTGGCAGAAGCGAGGCAAAGAGCCTGGTCGTCCAAATAATAAAATTGTGTTTTCTCCAAAAATTTACAGATCATATCCATCAAAATGTTCCCCATGACAGCAAAATTCATCCCCGGAGGGCTTGATAATGGGAAGGCCAGTCCGTACTAGGGGGAAAATGGTTGATTTGTAGAGCTTAATCTAAGACAAGTCACAGGGTTTCAGACATTACTACAAGGACATTAACATTCCAACTATAAGGATAATGTAACACAATTCATTGTGGTGTAGAATCAAAATCACATAATACAACCAAGAGTTTGATTCCTCCAAGCTATGCAAACATAGAAAAACCCCAGGAATTTGAAACCTACAATCATATGAAGCAATAACAACAACAACAAAAATAACATAACTGGGAATTACCAAAAAAGTTCACATGTTTGAGTCTCCATATTACTGCAGTCCCTGAGGCTGCCTCCACTAGCCACCTTGGAGGCTGACCAAAATAAATCCAACTGGCAGTGCTCAATTTGAGATTCTGCATCCCTTTTCTTTGTGAATGTGGTCTCTGTTCCCAAGTCATCGAGACTGAAATCGAAGTGATCCCATGGCGTCTGTGTCTCAATGTCAACACACTCGAAGTCACAAAATAGGAAGCCTGAGGTTTGGGTCTCAGTGTGGAACATGTCAGTGCATTCAAATGGTGCATCTTCAATTGTCTGGGTCTCGTTATGAGAAAACAAGGGGAAGTCTGTTTGTGCTGCACTCTGCTGAACACTGGTCATGAGCAGACTATCAAGTAGACTGTCTGTCTGTGTCTCGGATGATAGGATGTGATTGACATGATCAAGGGCGTCCTCCAAGCTACCATCTGCTTGTGATCCATGACTGGGGGTTAGCAGGGGCAAAGTGGGCGACTTTCTGCAAATGACATCCAAGTCCTGCTCTAGAGTAATGGGCCTATTAGTTTGCTCAACAAAGCACCCCCTTGGTTCCTGCAGGGTTTTTGCAAACATGGGGTCTGCTGGCTGAGCAGATACAGGCCTGAATGAATTGTCCAAATCTTTAAACAAGTCATCTGGTTCGAGTGTTTGCGTAGCTGAGGAGCTCCTCGAAAAAAGCTCTATCCACTCCCTAGATGGCATAGGAGAGCTATGAAATAGAAGGTTGTCCAGGTCACTCCACAACTCATTGGCAGAAATCTCTTTGTCGAGCTTAGGTGGCTGCTTGGAAGGGGTGCGCCTGGCTCGCGTCTTCTTGGCTTTGCACACTGCACTCTCTATGGTCTGTGTTTCAATGCTGCACCCATGAGATGCCTTCTTATGACAGCTGCCACTTCGGGACAAATTAGGTTGGTTCCCCTTGCACTGCACGTCGAACCCAGATGTCTGCGTCTGAACTGCCGTCTTCATGGCTCTGTGTCTTCGACACACTTTTGGTGGAAGGTCTACAAGTTCCGAGGCATCCCGCATGCAGCTTGTTGTAGTAGATGCTTGAATGGAAGAATCTTTCGTACGTTTGCTCTTGCAGGATACATTGGTCTGAGAGGCCTGGTGGACCTTCCCTTCACATATAGTGTTTCCACTAGACAGACTTGCACCTGCCATGGCTGAAGGTAGAGGTGGCACACTTGGAACTGGCATTACAATAGGGACGCTGCTCGCCTTTGGTACTATGTTGCGCCACTGGCCTGTGGTCCTGTTTGCACCATGGACAGGAATGTCTTGACCCTTCTGACCACTGCTGGTCTTTTGATCCTGGATCACAATGATCACTTGGGCTCCCACTGGCACAATGATGTGCTGTGCTGCCTGGCTTGAAGCCTGCTTCCTCCTAACATAATAAATCAGACATGGTTGGCAGTTACCATCAGCTGGGGATACAAATGTGGCATCATGAAGCACATAGATAACTTTGTTGGCCCTGCTTACCCATCTTAGCTCTTCTGTCTTAGAAAACAGCCAAGAGTTCAATAAGATATTAATATTAAACAAGTAATCAATATTTCCAGTAATTCATGACCCTCAAAATGTTTAACTTAAGAATATCATATTTGTAAAGTAGAATATTATAAATGCCAAAGGACTTCTCCCAAGAGGTTTGCGAGAGGCATCTGGGATGGATGAGGCTTTCAGATGGCCAAAAATTCTACACCGGTTTCCTTCTCTCATACTTTCTTCTCCTCTTGGCCTGAGTGCAGTGGGCCCAGGAACTAACCTCCCGGAAAGAAAGAAAGGTTTCCTCCTTACTGGTTGTGTGTCGGCCAGCAGGCTGAATCAATTGAAGGGCTATGAGCAACATGGGCACATCCCTTAAATAAAAAGAAGTGAAATAGATTGCAATTTAATATTATCCAAGAAATGTGCAGCTCTATTGAAGACGTCCAACATATCTGGCAATGCAAACAAGCTATATTTCATTCCTCTTTTGACCCAGATATATGCCACCGATTCTTCAGGCTAAATGCATAGTGCCCCTACCTCAAGGTCGACATCTTCGGAGATATGCCCATCTTGCACCGAGCCCTTCCATTGTACCATCCAAATGAGCAAGTAGAATAGAGCTGTGTTACATGCCTAGCTCTTTTTGGGTCAATTCACCTTGCATGTGACTTTATGGCAACAAAATCTTGTCCTTTTGAAGTTTCATTTGCTTTCCTGCTTTCCATTAAAAAGAGGCTTTCCTGTGTCACTACTAAAGAATTTCTTCCTGTTTGCAAAACGTGCAGACGAGCAGACCAACATATCCTCAGACATTAATATTTTTTTGACAGTAGCTCAAGTTCAATCTCCTTTATTGCTACATTATTTAAAGCAGGAGTGTACTTATTGCACTAGACAAAAGATAAGCTTGATTGGAATGCACTCCACTTTAAGTGCACTTTATGCACAATTAATACTCAGGTGTTTTGAAACACCTGTAAATAAATTTTTGCAATTTTCTAAAGTTTCACTGAGAGTAGGAACTGCCTTAGTATGTCAGTGTCATCTGTATCCCACTTAATATAGAAGTTGGGGAAGATAGAATGTCATCAGGTAAACTTAACCTTAATGTTTTGTGTATTTGGAAGAGGTTAACAGTTGAAATTAAAAACACTGGTTAAGTGGCACAAGACACCACCCAATTAAGAGTGCTCAACCATATGCACCTATACCGTCAGCCTACACACAAGACAGAAAAAGTTGTCAAAGTAGAAACAAAACAAAGCAACACTAACATACAAAATGTGTGCAATAAGCATGTCTAATGGTGCCATGCCCTATTTTTTACCTAAGAGGAGATCTGTGTCATTGTAAAAGATAGCTTTTACAGACATGCTAACCCTGGAGCAAGGGGACAAAATGTTTAGCTGCGTTCGGAGTTTTGTGTCTGTCCGTCCATTTTTTGTCGCCTCGCTCCAGGGTTACCATGTCTATGCTTAACCAGCTTGCCTGCCTACTTGCTTTAGCTTACACATCTTACCTCAGACACAACACACGAGATGCATCTTTAAAACACATCTAGGTTGTAATTGTGATATATAAACATCTGACAAAACTCTGCAAGGGAAGCCATTTTTGGGTCCCACTAAAATGTTGTTCCTTGGTGCAATGCAAGTGGCATGGTTTGGAACATCTACTGCCAAAAATAATGACAACTGGCACTCAGACATAGCTGGCACTTACCTGCAGACGTCACCACGTTTCAGCTCAAAGGGTAAGGAGTGCTTGTGTCGCCTGGCATGGGTCAGCAATGCCTCTCTGTTCTGGTAAGTCGCCCCACATTGGCAATGCCAGGATGTCCCACAAGTGGACTCGTGGTGCTTGGACAACCATTCTGCACCGAATTTCTTCCCGCACTTGGAGCAGGCATATTTTTTCTCGGCGTGAACCTTGATGTAGTGCTGCATAATAAAGAAATGATTTAAACCTACACTGGAGAGAAAACTCCAAAGCGTCCCAGTGTCATATCGTGTAAGATGTCTCCCTGTCACTGCTACAACCAAGAAGAGTACATTTAACCCTTGCCTCATGTCGTAGTGTTTTTGCGATGCCAACATTATGCTGCTACATACTTTTAACTCCCAAACGATATAAGGAAAGGCCACTCACTTTCAGTTCAGATACACAGTTTACAAGCTTTGTAAACTTAGGATGTGAAATTCAAGTGAATCTGAGGGGTTTATGTGTCAAACAAAAGGGCAGCTGGCATGCTTCGGCGTAGGACTAAAGAATATATTTGTAAAAGGGTGGCCCGAGCGGCATGAGCTTTCCGAGGAGTGCGTATAGCCATTTCCGTCCGAAGCGCACTCCGGAATGCGTATAGCTTTACTCATATTTGTAACGACCGTGTTGATAAAAGATTGATATGAAACAAAGAATCAAAAAGAAAACAATCGGTTGTGCTATGTCACCGTCTTGTCAATTCGTTCTGCTTAAAAGAAACAAGATTAATTTGCGCTACCCGGGAATCTTTTACGCGCAACCGAAATTCGGTTCAACAACAACGCTAGCGCGTTGTAAGCAACATTCCACCTGCATGGCAATCTGACTCGTCTGCCGTCAGCCAAAGCAGCTCGACGGCTCCCACGTCGAGAACGAGCGACGTAATGAAATGCGAAAGCTCCCAATGGGCCGCCTTGTGTGAGGAGGAATCGTCATGTTTCACTTCACCTGTTCCTGCGAACTGACTGCTGTCTTTGGTTTTTCCGACGCCCGCAAGAAAAATAGCAGCTGGACCCTAGAACGAATCCCATACCTGGGTGAGAAGTTTCCGAGACGAGAATGGCTTGGGATGTCCTTCCCGAGACAGGCAACTAGCAACGGTGCAGCAGAAGCGTTTCGGCATTTTTGTTTGGGCGTGTTCCTCACATTGCCTCATCTTCATGAGGGAAGGTAACGTTCACATATCAGACACTCAGCCAACTCAACCGCGACTACACCCTTGTCACGAACGAGGAAACAGTTAAGCTAGTTAAGCGCAACTCCGCCATACCGACAACGAGGTTGTCCACTGACAATGTAACTGCTTCGCCGCAGGTATTGCCGACATTACTGGCATCATAACCATAATTGAGTAATTTACCAAGATCCTGCATTACCGCATAACTACCGTTGCGGTCATATGATGACGCCTGTGCAGGCTATGGGCACACCCAACACACCGCACACACCATACCCGCACCCCAGCGCACAGCCGCGAGGAGGTTACAACTGCTGCTACCACTACAGGCTACCACAGTGGAGGCCAGAAACTGTGGAGGCCGGAGCTTCTTTCCCCCTCCATTTTATTGGGTGGTAACTACTGTCATCACGCGGCTCCTTGCCAAACCATTGTTTTGTAGTAGTGACGCCTGGTGACACTTTCAATAGATGGCAGCTGCATCGCGCAGGGCTCTGCGGTGGTGATTTTCAATTTGTTTAAATTGTTAAATTGTCAAACAGTCAACTTGAGGGGCTAAACATGCAATAAGATCGTCCGTAATCTAGAAATGTAATTTATTTTCTTTTTTTATGGCGCAGCGCTCATTTATTGCAGATCCGGTGCCTGCCTGAGAACGCAAACGCTGCGCTAAGCGCTCGAAACCGAAACCAACGTGTGCCGTCGGAATCGAGTTTGCCATCCCTCATAAAGTTTTCGGTTATTTCTGATCTCAAAGTTAAATTCATTGAAGCACATCGATCCGAATCAAACGCTCAAAATTCCGCTCGAGTTTTACAAACACATTGCTGTGATTTACTTGTTCTCCGGCATATTTGTAAAGGTTTGAGCGCGGCGCGAGGAGAGCGCGGCGGCAGGCCAATCGAGCGCCGGAATCACGACGACCGCATCCCTGACGGGGCGGGCGCTCCGCCAGCTCCGCACTGCAGTTCATTCAGAACGAAATATGGCGTCGGAGGATGCGCGCACGCCAAAGTGCGAGCTCGAAGGCGATGGCTGCGTTCGGTTGTCGTCCATCCTACAGGCCTTTGGTGCTCCTATTCGCGAAGAACAGGCCTGGGCTGTGTGCTACCAGACCTCAAAGTGCATGTGCAAGGAGTGGACGACGGACAACCGCGGATGCTACTGTCTGACAGACACCAGTCAGCTCAGGATCCACAAGGACGGGAGTGTAGACAGCTCGACGGTGCGCGACCTGGGTCCCGGTGAGTGTTTTTCCGACGCCTCGTGTTTTTCTCGGGCCCGCCAGTGATTTGCGTCTAACAACAAAGTAGGCTGGGATCCTAGTCAGCATATACACTGTATTTGAGCCTCCGGCTATTGATTGGCACGTCTTCCAGAGGAAGGCGTGTGGTACGGATGCGGGGCGCGATGTCGTTGACGGAAATGTTTTCTGCGGTCAAGCGGGCATTGTGCTCGACTGGTTACAGTGTTTATAGTTCCGATACTTAAACCTGTCATTTAATGGGATGGTCGTGAAAGCTACCTTTTGCCCCAATTTCACTGTTCTGCATGATTGTGATTCATGCTAGCCTCCCGAAATGGGAATCCGCACCATTTGTAAAATGTTGGATCGCGGCTCTTTGCAGTGTGTGTTGATCGCGAGAAAGCATTCAGGGTCTATGCTCAGAATGGTTTCTCACTGCTTCCTAGCTTCTCCCGTTGCCGCTACCCAATTTATCGGCGACCGCTGTCACCGTTCCCCAGTGACAGCAGCGCGCTGATTTTGTGATGGCGCCAATCGACGCGCTCCCCAAATCCTGCGCAAGTCTGACGCCTGCGCCGCACTGGAGACGTTATTTGCTGTCTGTCTGGAACGGAACCTTGAGTGTCCGAGTTGGAACAGCTTCACCTTCTTCTAGCGGAGACATCACGACGAACGCCCGGTGACTCCGACGCGTTGGCGAACGGGTTACTTTTGCAAACGCCCCTTTCTTCCGGCTGTTCGCGTCTGAAACTGCGTGTACGGCGACAGGGGCCGTCGAGGTATTAGTGTGTGCTTTCCCATCTGCGATCCGACCGTCGGAATGGCCGCGCTCGCAGCCACCGGGTCTAAAGTGCCATGAAACGGATCATTTTGAACCGCCGCAAACTTGGCACCATCTGTACAGCGAGCTGAAGACAGGCCTGGGAGCTCCATTGTTCCCGTGCCGGAAGGAGGCGCGTCTAACCTCGACCTTGCCCCCGAGGAGCTGTCGTTGGTCGCGCATTTTGTGCACCGTGGACCCCGCTCGTCCCGCTTGCAACAACGTGGCTGGCCCCCCCTGCCCGGAAGCGGACAGCCGCTATCGCTTGGGTGTCCCGTATTCCAGGGAGAGGGCAGGACCATCTCTCTGGAACAAGGGACATCCCAGCGGGGTCTGTGTTCGGGCACATCGCTCACAAGCGGTACCAGAAGGTAGAGATTGGGCCGTACCAAAGTCCAATCCGAATAGTCCGTCGTTTCCCACGTGGTTTGGACCTAATCTTCAGCTATCGAGGTTCAAGGATCTCTGGCAAACAGCTGTAGATTAGGTGCTGAATCATTGGAGTTATGATCTTCAAGACGAGCGTGTGAGAAATGACACGTTCCAGTATGTTTGCACTAGGCACATTTAGGGTCGATATTTAGTGGGGAGCTAGTTCCTCGTTCTTCTTCCGACTCCCACCAGAAGAGAATGCGTGGTGTGGCCTCAAGAAAGCTCGAAGTTTCGGACAGACGTTTTTGTTATGGCGAGGAGCACCCTGTTTTGTTTATCGTCTCGTCGGTGAAGAGCGTCCGAACGAATTTTTATTGTTGACATCTTGTGTCCCATGGCAGTTTCTGCCGTTGAGTACTCATCGCGGAAGGTTAATTGGTGTCGACAGTAAAACTCCCGGAGAGGGTAGACCTGGATCGCTGGATATACCGAGTGTCGTCAGCCCGTGACGAAATGAAAAGGTGTGAGATGCTTTGGTAGGCACATCGTGGCAGACAACCGCAGTTTAATGCTACGAAACATGTGCGGTACATGTTGCAACGTTATGCATGTTATTTTTTTTTTATTTTTCTTAAAGATTACTTTTTTATACAAGGAATACAGTGAGAGTGGCACAATAAAAACCTCTATGCACAAAGAGAGTTGCAAATATAGGTACAGCAATCTACCAGTGCGACGTCGCGATCAAAACCGAACAAGAAAAACAGCTGATTTACGTATAAAGAAGCAGCACGATAAAAATAGTGCACGTCATTTGGAAAGGTCGCACAAGGAATGAGAACAGCTACGGAAAAGAGTAGCAGTGATAGCGAAACCTCTGTTACCGGAGCTCGAAATTACTTATGCATTTCGCAACAGTTTGTATAAAAACAAAGAAACTGGTTCACATTCAAGGGTATATCTAGGTTGTTTGTTCCTGTCGAATGTTTTTTTTTTTTTTTTTTCTGTAAAAAACTAGTATTTGATGGTGTCTATCCAGAAGCGGCATTCACTAATTGCTTTTAGGCGCGTGAATCGGGTGTGTGTTCTTTTCTAGAAGGTTCGGTATTTATCCTGTGGTCGTTCTGTTTCCAGCCATTATGGGAATGCGTTATGGATAAAAGAAATTCGAAAAAAAGAGTACTACACATTACATGTTTGTAATCGCTGCTCAAGGTCACCGAGGCTATCAATCGTCATGAAACAGGCGTTTGGCCGCACAATCTTAAAAGGAAAGAAGAAAAAAAAAAATAATGAAGAAGACGGAGAAGCCGTGCACCACAACAATCAATATTTGCGTTCTTTCTCGGATGAGGCGCACGCTGGTCTTGTGGTATTTCTTCCTGGTCCCGATGGCGCTGGAGAAATCGGTCACGCATTGGCCCGCCTTGTTCTTCGTGTTTCCTCGCTCTTCCGCCTTCGGCGCGCTCGCCGCCGAGATTTCGAGGAATTCCTCGTCCCGCCTGTGGGTCGCTCTTCGTTTAATCGGCGTCTCTTCGCTGGAGAATCGTGTCCATTACAGCAAAGGCAAAGCAAGCTCAGCTAAAAAACAAAAAAAACTGTTCAATGTCCTAGTGTAATCTCCCCTTTGTACGGTTGGCATAAGACAATACACGGTGAGAAGTACGCTGGACCGGTTACCTAGGGGATGACACAAACGCACGGACGTCTCAACCCTCAAGTTACCTCAGTCTCGGATATTTTTCACCGTGTTTAACCTCCGCACATGCTTTTTTTTTTTTTTTTTTTTTCTCTCTCTACAATACACACATTGCTTTAATAGGAATGAATGTGGCTTATCGTTTGGTCGGGGGCGTCGAGTCGTTTCATATGCTCAATGCGGACAGCAAGTCGTCTGCATCTTGCGCAGGAGTTGTGGTGACGTCAGAACGACGCCGAGCTCTGATTGGCTTCGATTGAAGAGTAGTGAGTAGACCTCAAAGCGAGCTGCCTTGAGGTCTACCCACTATCCTTGCAATCAAAGCCAATCAGAGCCCGCTATTCTGACGTCACCACTACCCCTGCAAACGAAGCATACGAACTTGGGCTTCGCATAGAGATACTGGAAGGCGGGGCGGCTCAGCAGTAAACGATGCTTTTCGACGCCGTAGGCAATCGTTACATCAATCAGCCTAGTATTTGGCACGCTTCCAAATGTGTCAATAGGCGGCAACGCAAACCAGCTTCATTATATCCACTGCCCCTCCCGCCCGTTAACACTTTAGCAGAGTGAACGCTGGAGAGGAGGTTGCCTCCTCTCCAGCGCTCGCTCTGCTAAAGTGGAAACAGGTGGGAAGGGCTATACACCAACACGCGGATATGGCGTCACGCCGTACGTCGTGACGTCATATCTGCGTGTTGGTGTATAGCTCCACCCACCTGTTTCCACTGTATAGCTCCTCCCACCTTGTGCCCACGTCACGCCGTACGACGTAACGTGAGCAAAAGGTTTTTTTTTTGTAAAAGATATTCACGATGAAATGTATTCTGTTTACGGTGAGAAGTGTTTATTGCGTAGAGCGGTGCACAACTGGGTTGAGGAATTCTCCCAAGGGCGCTCAAATGTTGTTGACGAGGAGCGCTGAAGTGGTCGTCGTTTTGAGATTGCGACAGTGCGGCGGGTGGAAGAAAGTGCGAGTCGACAGGTGTTGGAGCACTGGTATAGATATGGGATAAATGTGGCAATGTTGGGGGAGGGTATGTCGAGAAATTAAAGGGGCTTTTCAATGTGGTATCCGCCCCCTTTTTTTTTATAAAAGCCTTTTGTGACGTATTGACTTTCCCTCGTATACAAGCTGGACCTTTTGCCACAT